GAGGAACAGCATAATATGTCCTTGATGTGCAATTCTCCTAACAATAGCTTGGGAAACAGAGAGTCAGCAGTCAGAACAGAAAGGCATATGGGAAATAGTTGGCTTGGCACTCTTCTTGGCATGGTCATAACGTGAACCTTACAGATGGCTACAAATGACCTACGCACATAGCCTAAAGGTGATGTCCACCAACGAGAGCTTTAAAGGGAGAGGGATGGAGATGAAATCTTTGCAGTAACAACCTCAGATAAAGACTTGCGCACTGTAGAAAATGGGAGTGTTGCTGGAATTGGGCCTCTGGAACCACACAAATTAAAATAGAAAAGAACATTGGCTTATAAAGTTCATGGCCTTTTCTATCTAATGCTCAGAGTATGGAATATAAGCAAGATGAGCTTGGGCTTTTGCACAGGAGAGCACATATGATTTAACAGGAGTAAGAGACCTGGTGAGATGGCTCCATGACCAGAGTATGGATGCCACTTGTTCTAAAGGCAGAAGCAAAAGAAAGTGAGAAGGAGTCGTGCTGTGGAGGAGATTAAAACAATATGGTCTGTGATGTCTACTGTCACCCAACCAATTATGAAGAAAATTTGGATGATGCCTTCCAAAAGCAAACTGCAGATCTTTCCAAGAGGCATGAAGTCATCAAGATGGGAAACTTCAATTACCCCAACATCTGTCAGCATGGTCCTTCCAGGAAATTCCTGACTTGTCTTGTTGACACCCTTTCCTTTCAGCGGGTGTTGGAAGAGGCAAGCAAATCAGCTATCCTTGACTTGAAACCAATACAGAACACTTAGTTAAGGAAGTGCCAGGAACATTGGAGGAAAATGTACAGGATACGCTGGAATTCTTATTTTGAGAGCTAAAACAGAGTATGAGAGCCAGTTTGGTATAGTGGTTAAAGCACCAAGCTAGAAACTGGGAGACCAGGAGTTCTAATCTTGCCCTAGCTACAAAACCTGCTGGGTGACCTTGGGCCAGTCCCTCTCTCACAGCTCTAGGAAGGAGGCAGTGGCAAACCGCTTCTGAAAATCTTGTCAAGAAAATTATAGGGACTCGCCCAGGCGTGGCAAGGACTCGTTACCAGGAGTCAAGACTGACCCAAAGGAAAAAGAGTATAATCAACCAAGCTTCTTGGGCTTGTGGATTTTAGTAAACTCAAAACATGGTAGAATAAGTTAATGGGAAAAGTTGTAGAAAATTTATGGGAGTTCAGAGGTAGTAAAAGCACAATTACAAACAACTGCAATGAGTCAAAAAAAGTGGGGGACAGCAAAAGAAGCCAATGTAGTTACTCCCAAAGCTTAGTAAAACCTAAAAACAAAAAAGGAAAAGGAGATATATCAGAAAAACAAAGAGTTGGCTTATAAAGGCAGAATATAAACAGGTAGACTAGGCTTGTAGTGCTGGTAATAAAGTGAAAGCTCTGAAGTTGAGTTAACAAAAGATGCTAAGAACAATAAATGGGGTTTCTTTAGATACACTCAGAATTAAAATAACCATTATATCAGCTGCTCAGTGAAGAAGAAAAATGCTAAGAGCTGTGAAGAAAAGGGTGAGAGATTCAATTCTTATTTGCCTCAGTCTTTTGCAAGGGGAAAAAAAATGCATTCCACCAACAAATTGTGAAGGGCAGGATACAGGGGCAGGATTGAAGCTTGAAACTGAGAGGAACTGCTAAGAGAATTCCTCTTTATTTTGAATCCATTTAAATTTCCAGGGCCAGATGAATTGCATCCTAGAACGCCGAAGAAAGAACTGATGGTCTGGCTGAACCGTCTGGAAAATCCTGAAGAGCCAATGAAATGCCAGATGATGGAAAGACAGCAAATGTTGTCTGTATCTTCAAAAAGGAGGAAAGGAAGATTGGGCAAGTGACAGCCAGTCTGATATCAAAACCTGGAAAAATTCTACTCCAGAATGCTCTACTCATCTGGGTGAGGTCACTCTGCTCCCTTGGTATCACTGCCCTGCCCATCAGTAGGAGGAGAAAAGTTAGTCCACGGTAGCCATAAATCAGAAGGATTTCTGGTAACACCTTTTTGGACTAACCAATTAAAAATGTACTACCGAACTCTTCCTGATTTTTGCCCTGCCCACTGTCTCTCTCATTTCCACCCAATTTTTTCTGAACAAAAAATTGCTACCTTTGTTGTACAGTCAAGCTGCCTACCTACAATCTGTGGGCAACATGCAACCACAAGCCCCATCTGTCTCTTTATCAAGTATTTGATAAATACTTGATAAAGTATTTGTGTAAATGTAAATACTGACATTTTATTAGCAAACCCGATCAGGGTGGGAATGCAAACACAAAGATTCTGGGAGGTGAAACGCTCCCCTGTCTCCTTTAAGAACTAAAACTCAACCCACCATTTTCAGCTCTGCCCCTTCTGATGACACCAATCTGCTATGGTCCACTTGCCATTTTGAAGGATGAACTACAGCCTCCAACTACTGTAGATCAAGGCTGGAAATCTTTCTGGTGTCAAAAACCTAGTATCCTCAACGCAGCCAGAAGTTGATCAGTAGATTTTTGATGCCAGCTGGGTCTGCACAAGCCACTTAAGTTGGCTACCGAACTTAAGGCATTACCCAAGTTCACACAGAACACTTGAATTATCATCTAATCAAGTGGGATGAGGAGCAGAACCCTCTAAGCCATAAAATAAATAAGCTAATCCGTTTTAATACGTTAAATGCAACCACTAGGTCTTTGGCCTACGTAAGTTGTAGTGTGCAAACTCAGCCCGTGTGCCTCATGTACTCCCATGGTCACACACCCCACATTCACACAACCATATATGCAAAGTGTCAATCTAAAACATTGTTTTTCAAACTTAGCAACTTTAAGATGTGTGGATTTCAACTCCCAGAATTCCCCAGCCATACTTCATGTGTACCCTAGAGGCTTTCTTTAGAAGCTTGTCCAGAAAAAGAATGAAAACTGACTTGTCAAACCATCCCACAAAATTAGAAGTGCAGCCTTGCTTTCTGTTTTGTGACCAGCTGCCTTTGTGCTATCAGAAAAGACATTTGTCACAATGCTCAGGGAGACCTGGGGACTCCTACAGTACAAGAATGACTCTCCCTATTTAAATAGCCCAATCTATGCACGAAATGCAGCAGTGGGGACCTGAGCAAAGGTGGGTCAACTGCACACTTCGTGGATCCTGCTGTAGCCAATATACAGATATCCCTTGACACCATAAACATTTTGGCCATTTATAGGGATGGTGAGTCAATTCTAATTCCACCCTGCTGTCAAAACTAGTAAAGGGTGCAACTCAAGATGCTGATGGTTACTTTTAAAAGCCTGCTAAGCTAAGCTGGGTTACTTACGGGAGTGTCTCTCCCCGGTGGGATCTACCCATGCTATTAGATCCGGCAGGAGAATCATGCTCTGTCTCCCGTCCACAGGTGAGTGCCACTTGGCGGGGCCTGGGAAGAGGGCTTTATCTGCCGTGGTGCCCACCCTCTGGAATATCACCCCCCCTGAGGTAGGACTTGTCCCAACCCTGCTGGCCTTTGCCAATCTAGCTGGGGTCCTGGTAACATGGATGCGCTCACTGTATGCTTGATTCAAATGTGTGAAGTTCTGAATTTTCTCAGCAGCGATTCTATGCTATTGAAGCTATTTTATTTTAATTTTGGTTGTTTTATCTTGTCTTTAATGGTTAGCCACCCAGAGTCATGTATATGAGGTGGGCAGCCATATACATTTAATTATTCTTCCGGGTAAAAGCAACTTTGCACTCCCTTATTCAAAAACCTGGATGCGCAAGCCTACCAAAAAATCAGGGAGTTGGGTCCCACCTTTTCCAACTGACACATTTTATTAAAAGACTTAAGCTTTTGTGAGCCGCAACTCACTTCATCAGATGTTCCCAGATTCCTTTTGACTTTTTTGCTACCATAGACCAGTGTTTCTCAACCTTGGCAGCTTGAAGATGCGCAGACTTCAACTCCCAGAATTCCCCAGCCAGCAAGGGTTAGGCTGGCTGGGGGATTCTGGGAGTTGAAGTCTGCGCATCTTCAAGCTGCCAAGGTTGAGAAACACTGCCATAGACTAACACAGCTCTCTTTCTACAATGTCTAGAAACTTACCAAAATGTTGAACCTTATTGTATAATCACTGCAGTTGCATTTGCACATGGCAGAACAGCTTTCCAGCAAAATCTTTCCCTAAGGCTGTGAAGACAGACCCGATCCTCTTTTACAGGAGTTAATCGTGGCTGTTATGAGTTGGAGTTGGGACCAGGTTTGTATTTTGATTGGCTATTTGTGGTGGGTGTTTTCATTGCTGCTTAAATCTAGATCAAATTTGTATTGGACTGTAAACTCCCAGAGCCCCATTAATTACAGTAGTCTGTAAATTAATTAAATAAACATGCCAGGCTGGGTTAATTTTGACCATAGATTTTTGCTGGCTTAGCAAGCTGAACCTAGCCCATTTAGTCATTCAAAAACTCAGAAAATGGGTTAATACAGTAATCAGGTTAAATGGTGGATTGTACAAATTCAGCCAGTATGTAAATTCTATCAAGAATGCTATTACACAGGAGATTTTTTTTTCTGAATATGTACCATCAAAACTTTTTTCTTAATTTCAAAAAAATTGAATTGCTAAACCAACAATTAAAAAGGAGTAATTAACAGCTGGCCCTGCTTCTCCATTTCTGTAAAATGAAGCATCCATCTTTGCTTCCTTAAAAATACTTTTTTGTTGTTATTGAGATTTTAAATTCTCTCTCAAACAGCATTACAATATTTCCCTTCACAGCCTCGCGTTGGCTTTCACACTTGCAAACTATCATTCCACTTCAAACATACACAAGGGCTGAAGTTTCAGACAGACAAAATTTTTCTAGGCAAATATACTCTATTGTATATAAATATCTCAGCGTTTTCCTGGTTCCTTTCCCATGGCAAAACAGGGAGTCAAGCGAACAGCTTGTACACTGTATTTAACACATTATTTACGCACTGAAATAATCTGGAACGTTGACATATGAAAGTATGTTTTAATTCCACACTTGGAAAATGCTCCAAAGTTCATGTTCCGTAACACAAAAACAAACCTGATCAGCAAGATGTGAACTTCTAAGCACATATTCAAGCCTCTTCTGAAAAGCTGCAATTCACTGCTTTTATGTATTTAATGCAAAGTCCTCGTTTCCTGTTCCAGACTGCAGCTGAAGCATACACGGCTAGTTAAATACAGAAAAGCAAAGGAACAAATGAATTTCAATTCTGTCTGCAGCAGTGTTTTGCCAGAATGGAGAGCAGAGATATTACTATTACTTGGGGAATGGAGAACTGCATCAGGGGAATTGATCTCAGCTAGTTCTAGACCAGCGTTTCTCAACCTTGGCAGCTTTCAGAGGTGTGGGCTTCAACTCCAGAATTCCCCAGCCAGCCTTGC